GCTGGGTTCAGGAGAAGTGTTGCCAAAACTATATTTGGGCAAAACCAACCAGAAGATCTGAAAAGAATATCAGTAAACCGTAACGTTGAAAATGAAATAAAATTTGATGGAAAAGACCATTTCATTGGAAAAATTTCGGATGGACGAAAAAGATGTAAATTGTGCCACAAGAAAGTATCAAAGAAATGTTTAAAATGTGATGTTGCCCTACACTTGGAATGCTTTGAACATTTTCACAGGAAATGATTTACCATGAGTATTAACTCATAACGTACCTTTTTAGGAACACTTTGTTTTTTGATCATAACTTACTTTATTTTTTTTAAATTTCATTTTAATTGGCTTTTTTGATGTTTTGAAACTATGCTAAATAAAATATTTCAAAATCACAAAAAAATTTTAAGTCATGCGTTGGAGGGTTAAAATTATTAAAATCTATTAAAATCATTAAAATCGACTTATTAAAATCATCAGAAAATTCATGCAATTTATATTGTCTTAACTTCACGCAACTGTTTGGCCAATTTCCACAGAGAAAATCTCGCCCTTGAATGAGAGTAGTTGTAGATGAAAAATAATGTCACCGCACTGGCCAACAATAAAACCTTATTCGTTACAATTATTTTTTCACTCACCGTTTTCAAATTTCGTTCCAACCGCATCAAAGTTTCATGTTGACTGCACTTGGAATCATTTTTATCTATTTAAAATAAATCTATTTAATTATGTGCTCTATATTTGATCTTGGATTGATTGAAAAATATTTTTTCATGTTAGTTTTATTTCAGGAATTGTTAAAAAAAATGTGTGTACCTATATATGACTTTCATCTGGAATTATTTGAAATGGCTTTTTTGAGTGTGTTCAGTTTATAAACATGGATATAACAAATAATACTTGGTGGTAGAATTTGTTTTCTTATAGCTAAATGTTGTACTTAATGTTGTTAATTAATTTAGTTAATTTGTTAACTAAATGTTGTTACCAATCATCAGTTTAATAAATTCTTTAAATATTATAAAATACTGCATAGTTATGAAAAATTTTAGTAATAAAAGTTGAAATTTTGAAATATTTATGGTACAAGAGTAATTTGTTATTGTAAATGTTTTTTCATCAACAAAAATTCTGCGAGCATTTACGTAAGTACGCATATTTATAATGAATCTTCCTATTGTTAGTAAGTTCCATTTTCTGAATAAACTCAATTTTTAACATTCGCGATTGTCTCTCAACAATTCGTCATTCCCATTCATTCAGTACTTTGAAATATTATTCTTTTAATTAATTGTTATCTAGCCATTTTATTCTATTTCATTATTTCTGAAATGTTTGGTTCATATCATTTGTATTAATATCATTTTTATTCATTCAACGTTTTGAACATTCACATTCACTGAGATAACGAATGAGATAACGAAGTGTGTGTGTGTGTGTGTGTGTGTGTGTGTATGTGATGTGTGTGTGTGTGTGTGTTTGGTGTGCGCGCAACTCATATATTCACGAGTGTGCAGTGCATCAAACTTGAATTCTGAAAAGCTGACATATTTATATCGGCGATAAATTCCCGAAAAATGAAATAAATCAAATAAAAGTATGAACGATGAACATCCATCGAAACATAAACGTTCATCTTTTTGTGTGCAGCTTCCTCTATCAGCCAACAACCAAGTTGAGTTTTCCTTCATGTTTTCAAATTTTTATTTCCTACACCTCAATGAATAACTCAGATGGAAACATGACATAAATTATCTTCATGCACCTTTGTCCATTTTTTTCCATAAAGAGATGTTTTTCTAGTGCTGAAGGTGATGTTGTTGATGATGTTGTTGATGATGATGCTGCTTATGATGTTGATGGTGTTAATGATGATGATGATAATGATGTTGTTGTTGATGATGATGTTGTTGTTGATGATGTTGTTGATGGTGATGATGATGTTGTTGATGATGTTGTTGATGGTGATGATGATGTTGTTGTTGATTATGTTGTTGATGCTGCTTATGATGTTGATGATGTTGTTGGTTATGGTGCTGATGGTGAAGGTGATGGTGGTAAAGACAAAGATGATGTTGTTGATAATGAGGATGATGATGATGATGATGGCGTTTATAACGTCGGTGATGTGGTTGTTGTTGTTGTTGATGATGATGGTGATGGTGATGACGACGACGATGATGATAATGATGATGATAATGATGATAAATGGGGTGATCATTATCAGAATCATGACGATCTTTGATTCAAACACGCTGTATGTTAGAGATCGGGATTTGAAAACAGCAGATAGAGATTTTGCAGTTGCTGGACCTATTTTTTGGAACAGCCTACCCATCGAATTACGTATATACGGGTTATCATTAGCTGAGTTTAGAAAAAGGTCTGAAGACATACCTATTTGGTAACTCCTAGTGATCTCCACCGATGATGGCTTCGCTTTCAACATGCTTCATACAAGGAGAGCGCTGATGAGAAGCAATTATAATTGGCGCTATATAAATACAATATTTGATTTGATTTGATCTTTGTATGCCAAATGATGACGTCATCTTTGATGGTGACGACGATAGTATGGAAGACTAAAAATATTGTTATGTGTTGTCAGTATCACCTTTGATGTTTTAATACCATGATGTTCAGACAAAAGAGGAACGATGAGGAAGATGATGACGACTGTAGAAAAGATGATAATCAGATATAATTTTATTTCATTGTTTGTTTTGCTTGTTTGCTGAATGCTTTTAAAAATTTGCAGTATGTTATAAACGTTGTGAATGGCATGTAGTCGGTCTATGGCGTTTCTTGTTACCATATTGTTGTTGTTGGGTCTTGTTAACAGTTGTTGTTGTTGTTGTTGTTGTTGTTGTTGTTGTTGTTGTTGTGTTGTGTTGCATGTTGTTGTTAACTTGTATATGTATGCTGTATTTTAATATTATGTTTTAATCTTATAATAATAAAGTCACACATACAATATGTAAAAATGAAATCACACATATACA